ATGAACTAATCTTTTTTTTTTTTGAGATGGAGTTTTGCTTTGTTACCCACGCTGGAGTGCAATGGCATAATCTCAGCTCACCTCAACCTCCGCCTCCTGGGTTCAGGCAAGTCTCCTGCCTCAGCCTCCTGAGTAGCTGGGATTACAGGCACACACCACCATGCCCAGCTAATTTTTTGTATTTTTAGTAGAGACGGGGTTTCACCATGTTGACCAGGATGGTCTCGATCTGTTGACCTCATGATCCACCCACCTCGGCCTCCCAAAGTGCTGGGATTACAGGCTTGAGCCACCACGCCCACCCTAAATCTTAAAAGATGAGTAGGAATCTTCTAGATGAACAAAGGGAGGAGAGGGCAATCCAGGCAAGGTGTATTAGTCAGGGTTCTCTAACGGGACAGAACTAATAGGATAGATGTCTGTATGAAGGGGAGTTTATTAGGAGAATTGACTCACATAATCACAAGGTGAAGTCCCATGATAGGCCATCTGCAAGCTGAGGATCAAGGAAGCCAGTCTGAGTCCTAAAACCTCAAAAGTAGGGAAGCCGACAGTGTAGCCTTCGGTCTGTGGCTGAAGGCCTGAGAGCCCCTGGCAAACCACTGGTGTAAGTCCAAGAGTCCAAAAACTGAAGAACTTGGAGCCTGCTGTTCAAGGGCAGGTTGCATCCAGCACGGGAGAAAGATGAAGGCTGGAAGGCTTAGCAAGTCAGGTCCTTCCATGTTCTTCTGCCTGCTTTATTCTAGCTGTGCTGGCAGCTGATTAGTTGGTGCCCACCCAGGTTGAGGGTGGGTCTGTCTCTCCCAGTCCACTGACTCAAATGTTAATCTCCTTTGGCAGCACCCTCACAGACACACCCAGGAACAATACTTTGCATCCTTCAATCAAGTTGACACTCAATATTAACCATCACACACAGGGTACAGCATGGGCAGAGGCCCAAAAATGAGAAGCAGCATGGTGTGTGCCAACCAGCCTGATGACACTCACAGTTTGTTTGTCCTTCCACAACCCATCCTAGGACACTACTAAAATGCAGACATTAGTTTGGGACCTTCCCTGACATAGAATAGCTAATCTGATAACTATTCATAAAATTCATAGAAAGTTGGTATGACATGACTGTCCACAAGTTTGTCCATATCAGCTTCCCATGGCCCTGGTTTCCTTGCCTAGACTCTGAAGTTTATGTGACTGGCTTCCTCTAGACCTCCTATGGGGTTTCAGTTATTCCCACTGTCCTGGTAGTTATGAGGTCTCCCTTGGCCCCATATGTGGAGATACTGTGAAGAGGAGTTTTTCTGACTTCTGATACTGGCTGTGGAGTAGAAACCCTCATTTTTCAGGGAATGTACAGGACCTGCTCATCCTGTCCTCGATACCGGGGTTCATCTCCCCTTGAGCTCCATTCACACCCATGCTAATCCAGGAAAAGTGTATTGTGGAGTCTGGCAGGCCCAATTTTAAAGCAGGGAGGCCCCACATCTTGGTTGTGTGACCTTAGCCAAGTTACCTGTTCTCTTTGAGCATCAGTTTCCTCATCAGTAAAAGGGGCTGCCCACCTGGGACAGTTGTTGTGAGTGTTAAGGCATATGTAAAGTACCTGGCCCTGGGCCACCATTTATTGAACACCTACTACTGTTGCTATTAAAGGGAGAACAGCATAGTGGTGAGAGCATGAGCTGAAGATCCAGACCAACCTGGATTTGGATTGCAGCTCAGCTACTTAGTAGTGTTGTGACCTTGGTTGAATTTCCTGGCCTTGTTCAGCTTTAGTTGTATCATTTGTGAAATGAGGTGAATGCACCTAGCTTAGAGTCGTTTGTGTATGATTATAGTAGTGTATAATATGCAAGGTGGGGACCTTCACAGATCCCAGGCCCTTCCCCAGCCTGCCCTCTTCCAAGACACCTCTCCCTGGGGACCTACCTTTTCCTCAGCCTCCTCTTCTTTCTAAGTCTATCAAAGAGGACCAAGCTGCCCCCTCATAGTCATAGAATCACCTTCTTAGGGGAACTTTTTTTTTTTTTGAGAACAGAGTCTTGCTCTGTCACCATGCTGGAGTGTGGTGGCACGATCTCAGCTTACTGCAACCTCCACCTCCCGCGTTCAAGCGATTCTCTTGCCTCAGCCTCCCGAGTAGCTGGGACTACAGACGTGCACCACCACGCCTTTTGTATTTTTAGTAGATGGGGTTTCACCATGTTGGCCAGGATGGTCTTGATCTCTTGATCTCATGATCTTCCCGCCTCGACCCTCCCAAAGTGCTGGGATTACAGGCGTGAGCCACCGCACGCAGCCCTTAGGGGAATTTTCTAATGTTAAACTGCTCTTGGATTTCTGGGATTAAACTCAACATTTTTATGTTATATTAAATCTTGTTTTATTCATTCTAGATGTGGTTTGCTGATAAATTGTTTAGGATTTTTGCATCTTTAGCCATCTGTATTTGAACAGTTAAGGTTATAGTGATCTCATCCAATAAATACATGAGTTTTCTAGGAACTGGTCCAATTCAGCTAAGTTTTCAAATTAATTATATTCTCTTATTTTAAAATTTTTGCTGTATCTTTTATGTTGTTCATGTTATTTGTGCCTTTTCTGTTTTGTGGGGTTTTTTTTGTTAGTCCCTCCCAAAGATTTTTTTTTAAGCCGGACATGGTGGCTCACGCCTGTAATCCCAGCACTTTGGGAAACCAAGTCAGGTGGATCATCAGGTCAAGAGATCAAGACCATAGTGGCCAACATGATGAAACCCCGTCTCTACTAAAAACACAAAAATTAGGTGGGCGTGGTGGCACATGCCTGTAGTCCCAGCTACTCAGGAGGCTGAGGCAGGAGAATTGCTTGAACCCAGGAGGCGGAGGTTGCGGTGAGCTGAGATTGCACCACTGACTGCAGTCCAGCCTGGTGACAGAGCAAGGCTCTGTCTCAAAAAAAAAAAAAAAAAAAAGCAAAGTTTTTTTTTTAGCAATGGCCTTGAAAGCTTATCATATATATTTAACCTAAATTCCAAAGTTAAACCTACTCCCCACCCAAACAATTCACAAAGTTTATAAATCTTTAATGTCTCCCAATTTACATGTTATGCCTACTGTTTTTGTCCTCCCTTATTAAGGACTACACTAACAATATCGTTATTTTATGCAGACATTGTTTGCTTAAATACTCATTTACCTTTTATTTGCCCACCTTTCTTCTTTTACCTCAGCTGTTGTTTTTTGGGTGATTTTTTTTTTCTTGAAATATATACAGAACTTTAGAAGATCCTTTAGTGTAGATCACTGAAGTGGAAAGTCTTAGTCTGTGTTTATCTATAAATGTCTTTTTTTCCTTTTATTCTTCTTAAGATAGGTTTGATAGGTACCCAGTTCTAAAGTACCTTTTTAGAAGGATATTAAACACTGACACTAAGAGGACATTATGACACTCTTGTCTGGTTTACATGATTACTGTTGCAAAGTCTACTGTTACTCCAATTGTTTTTTTGTAGGTGTTCTTTTTCTCTGGCTGCTTTGAAGGTCCTTTGATTATTGCATGACTCTAAGATCTCTTTAGTTGGTGTTGTCTTGCAAATGTTCCTTTTTATAGCTTCCTAATCTTGCTTCATGAATGCCTTGTTTTTTTCTTTTCTTGTGGCTCTGATGACATTAAATAATAATGTCTTTTTTTTAAGTGTTCTTTTCCCTGCATTTTTTTTTTAGAGGCTCACTCTGTCACCCAGGCTGGAGTGCAGTGGCACAATCTCAGCTCACTTCAACCTCCACCTCCTGGGTTTAAGTGATTCTTCTACCTCATCCTCCATGTAGCTGGGACTACAGGCGCCTGCTGTCACACCCAGCTAATTTTTATAATTTTTAGTAGAGACAGGGTTTCACCATGTCAATCAGGCTTGTCTCAAACTCCTGGCCCTAAATGATCCACACCCCTTGGCCTCCCAAAGTGCTAGGATTACAGGCATGAGCCACCACACCCATCCCTACATAATTTTTGTTTCCAAACATATATATTTGGTTGTCAGCAGCAGTGAGAAACTCACTGACACCAGATTTGGCCAAAGGCACCAGAGATAACACATGCATGACATATTCTAAAGCCTTAGAATTTGTATGAATGGTGGGCAGGGGGCCCCTCTACTGTGTGCAAACATGGGTTGGTGCCACAATTCTGTCATGTGTGAGTATGATAGTGCAGTAGACTCGAGCCAGACTGCCTGGATTCAAATTCCAGAGCTGGTCAAGTCGCTTGACCTCAATCTTCTGTAGTTTCTTTTGTAAAAACGGGGATAGTGGTGTTACAGCTCTTTTAGAATTTGTCTAGCAGGCTTTCTGGGTTTTGCCATAAAGCCCCCTTAAAAAATAAATAAAACAAAAATGGGGATAGTAGTAATATGCACTTTATAGGATTATTGAGGGTATTAAATGAGTTAGCCTACATAAAGTATTTAGAATAATGCACAGCATGTAGTAAGCACTGTTTATGTGCTTGCTATTACTACCATTGTTACTTTTGCAATGAGGAGATTGAAGGAAGAAGAGCTTCTATGGTGCAATGGAAAAGAGTATATCCTGTCCTGTGTGTTCCTCTAATATCTTGGAAACAAAAGCCATCCACAAAAAAAACAAGGTCAGGAACTTGAAAGGGTTATTTGGGCCCTTAGAGTGTGGGCTATCAAGTAGGTAGTCAGAATGGGATAGAATTCTTCAGTGGGAAGAATTGGATATTTCCTTTTTGGAACAGAGCAGTACCATATGGGGGAGCAGTGACAGAGGGGATAATCTAGGGCCAGGGGATTTCCTAAGCAGTTAATAATGCTTTTCTCTTAGGAACTAACCTGTCAGGTACTGAGCGGCTTTGAAGATAGCTCTTCAGGTTGGTGACACGCCTTTGTTAAGGGGCAAGACTGCTGCCAGGAGTTGATTCGTGTTCTCAGAGGTGGGATTGACCACATAAAAAATGCTTTCAAATCTTTGTTCTAAATTTTCTTTGGCCCTCCCTAGGTTTGGGGAAAGTCTCAGCCTCAGTAACCATCCCAGACACAGTCCAGAGGATATGAGCAGGCGGAATGGGTCATACGGAAAACAGGTGCGTGGTGGGGAGGCAAATTTGAGGAGCCATTAGTGTTAAAATGGAAAGCTCAAGAGATACAAAAATTCTAAACAAAGCTTTGCCAAATCAAATCCAATAATGTATTAAAAGGATAACGTATCATAACAAAATGGAATAGAATTTATCCCAGGAATGCAGGATTGGCTTGACATTAAAAAATCAATCATGCTCATAGGCGGGTGTTGAACAATGAGAACACATGGACACAGGGAGGGAAGCATCACACACTGGGGTCTGTTGGGAGGGGGCTAGGGGAGGGGTAGTGGGGGGTGGGGAGATTAGGGAGGGATAACATGGGAAGAAGTGCCAGATATAGGTAATGGGGGGATGGAGGCAACAAACCACCTTGCCATGTATGTAGCTATGCAACAATTCTGCATGATCTGCATATGTACCCCAGAACCTAAAGTACAATTTAAAAAAAAATCAATCATATAATTCAATATTTTAACAAATCAAAAAAGAAAACCCATGTGATTATTGCAGTAAATGCAGAAAAAGCATTTGACGACATTTAACATCTATTCCTGATTTTAAAAAAACAAACACCTCTTGGCAAACTAGAAATAAAAAGGAACTTCATCAATCTGATATAGGGCATCTGCAAAATAACCCACAGCTAACATTATATTTAGTGGTAAAAACTGAGTGCTTTTCCCCCAAGATCAGAAACAAAACAGAGATGTCTACTCTCACCACTTCTATTCAACATTATACTGAAGGTTCTAGGCAGTGCAGTCAGGCAAGAAAAAGAAGCGAAAGGCATCCAAATTGGAAAGGAAGAAGTAAAACTGTATTTATAGACCATGTGATCAGCTATGTAGAAAATGCGACTGTGTCCACCAAAAATAAAACCCTACTAGAACTAATAAGTGAATTCAGCAAGTTGCAGGTTATAAGACAATTAGTTATATATCTACATACTAACAATTAGTTGTATATCTACATACTAACAATGAACAGTTGCATATAGAAAATTTTAAAATACCATTTATAATAACGTCTAAAAATGTGACTTAGGAATAAATCTGACAAAAGATGTGAAAGACCTGTACACTTATATTGCTGAGAGAAAGAGGAGTAAAATTAATGAAAAACATTCGTGCGTTGGAGAACTTAGTATTGTTATAATGTCAATTCTCCCCAAATTGATCTATAGTTTAAATGTAATTCCTATTAAAATCTCAGCAGTCTTTTTGAAGAAATTGATAAACTGATCCTAAAATTCACATGGAAAGGCACTATAGAGCCTGGTATGCTGTGTAAAAACCCTGGGTAGGGTCCAGCCTTCCCACAGGATTAGGATTATCAGTGGAGCCCATATAGAGAGGAAAAACAGTAGCAGGGCCTCCAGTTGTAAACAGGTCTGCAGAGGATATGAACAAGCAATTTCCTGAAGTGGAAAACCCAAAAAGCTAACAGGCATAATAAAAGATGTTTAGCTGTATTAACAGAAACGTCTAAAATAAAACTACAATGAGATTTCACTTTAGATCTCACAGACAGACAAAATTTTAAAAAACTCAATCATGCCAACTCCTTTAGGGATATGGGGACATAGGGATCCTCATACATTGACAGTAGGGACTTTGGCAGCCATTCCAGAGATGAATGTGGCAGTACGTAGTCAAATTCACTATCCCCAAGGGCCCTCCAAAGAAATTCTCACACAGGTCCATAAAGGGTCATGTGGGAAAGTGTTCATTATGGTGTGGTTTGCAACAGTGGGAAGTTGAAGACATGTTGCATGTCCATCACCAGGGGACTACATAGGGAAATAGTGACAGGTGCACTCCAAAGAGTTAGGCCAGTGAGTTAGATGTACATAGGGCAACACGATGATCTTCGACACGTAGTATTGAGTGGAAAAGAATGAACCATATAACAGTACTACTCACAAATTACAAATATATGCACGTTCACACCAAGTATATACCTTACAGAAATGCACACAAAAGGATATAAGTTAAACACATTTGAAAAATGCCTGTGTCAGAGAGTTGGGAGGAATGGGAGCATGGATGACAGGGAATAAATAAAACAAGAAGGCGGTGGAATTGCCAGGCACAGTGGCTCACACCTGTAATCCCAGCACTTCAGGAGGCCGAGGCAGGCAGATCACTTGAGCCTAGGAGTACAAAACCAGCCTGAGCAACATAGTGAGACCTCATCTCTACAAAAAATACAAAATTAGCCAAGCATGGTGGTACATGCCTGTGGTCCCAGCTACCGGGGAGGCTGAGGTGGGGGCGTTGCTTGAGCCCAGGAGTCTGAGAGTGCAGCGAGCCAAGATTGCACCACTGCACTCCAGCCTGGGTGACAGAGTGAGACCCTGTTTCAAAAAAAAAAGAAGAAAAGAAAGGGGGAAGAGAAGAAATAGCAGAAAGTGTCTATTCTCTTGGCCTAGTCACCTACTCCTCATGGCATTCATCCTTTAGAGCCTGCTCTTCACTGAGGAGGAAACAGCCACACCTATACTCTGTTAACCTGAGGCCAGACTGCCCAGATGGGTCTGGCTCAGACGGTCTGTGCTTGGCTGGTTTTGAGTATGTGCTGCCCCAGCTCCTGCACACCCTCCCACCAGCACTGCAGCTGCCTGGAGCAGGTGTGGACATGCATTTCACCCCACAGAAGTTGCCTGCTGTGATCTACTATTGAGGGTGGGGGCTAGTTAGAGAGAGATTGGAAGCGAAGAGTCAGAGCGACCCACTCCCCATCAAACCATGTGGAAACCAGACAACTAATTTCTGGTTTGTACAGTAGCCCTGCCGGTGCCCTGACTGTGCTGAGACGTGGGTGTATTTTCCTGGCCCCATTCAGAACCTTACCCTCTGACTTCCCCAGAAGCAGCTCTTGTAAACTCTTAGGGAAACTAAAGCCAGACTCACTGTGACTGAGAAATTCTCTTCAGCTTATCCTCTCCTGGGACTCTTCAACTAATTGTACCAATACTGCCTTTTCTCATAACCAGCTAGATGCGTGCTTGCCATTCAGTTTTCAAAACAAAACAATACCTTGTTCAGTGATATACATGGGAGGTGAAGTTTTCTCAAAAGCAGGCCAGGCATGGTGGCTCACACCTGTAATCCCAGCACTTTGAGAGGCCGAGGTGGGTGGATCACCTGAAGTCAGGAGTTCAAGACTAGCCTGGCTAACATGGTGAAACCACGTCTCTACTAAAAATACAAAATTAGCCAGACGTGGTGGTGTGTGCCTGTAATGTCAGCTACTTGGGAGACTGAGACAGGAGAATCACTTGAACCCAGGAAGTGGAGGTTGCTGTGAGCTGAGATCGAGCCACTGCACTCCAGCCTGGGCAACAAGAATGAAACTCCATCTCAAAAAAAAATTTTTTTCTTTTTCACAGAAATCGAGGAAATGAGAACATAAAAGTCAAAGTAGTGGTTTCTTCTGGGCAAGGGAAGGAGGTGAGGGATCCACAGGAGGCTACTCAGACACTATAATGTTCTAGTTCTCAAGCCAGCTGGTGGGTAGATGGGTGTTTTCTTACATGTCTTTAAACTGTACATGGAAATTTTCAAAACCTTTCTCTTTTTCTATGTTAAATACATTTAAAAGTTTGAAAAGAACACAAAGAGATTGCAAACCTAATTACATTTGCACTTATCAGAACACATAGAATCAAAGAGAATGACAATAATCACATTGGAATATCTGCCTATGATGGGGTGGGTGTTAGAAACGGGAGTGAGGAATGAAGATATAGCGGAATAAATAAGTGAATAAGTAAATAAAAAGATATGCATTTTATTGGTCAAAGATAAAAATGTAATATGACCAGTGGAGTATAGCTTCCTCCACCTTCTGCACCTGAGATTCAAAGGAAAAATAAATATTGAACGTGATCAAGAAACCTGATCCTACTAAATCTGATTGATCCAAAACCAACAGGCACAAACTTAAATCACCTGAGTACCCAAAAGTTGTTATAATCAACTAAGTCATTGCCACAGTAAGTTTTCTGAGGTGAAGGATTTTGAAGACTCCTTCAGAAGTTGGTCATTTCTCCAAAGTTTTTTTGGAATTGCTTCCAAACATTCCTGAAGGATTTCAAATGTGGCCCTTGACTTATTAGCCCATTTAACAGTAAAACTCAAAAGCCAGTGGAGAAAGCAGGGAACTGAACTCATGTCCCTACAGGAGCAAAAGACCAAACCTTCATACCTTAGAAATACAGTCCCATGTTGAACCATGTCTTGGAAATTGCCTCTGTAGCTTCAACACAAACAAAAACCTGGGTGTTGGAAAAATGTGTGCTTGATTTAATTTCACCCATCCTGAGACTAGAAAAAATCATGGCAGTTATATTGAGTCTGCCCTTGGCCAAAGTAAGTCACATGTGCCTTGGTCACCCCTAGCCACACTCTATCTCCTTTTATCACCCAATCCTAGTGTCCCTATCTCCACTGATGGGCAAATGGATATTTCCCCTCAACACTGAGGCCACCTGTTCTACCTTGTCTCTGCACTCAGGTTGCCTCACCAGATCTGCTGTGGGCTGCAGTTATAGTTGAGATCGCGTCAATTAGCTCTTATGAAATGAAGCTAATTTCACCATAGGATGCTTCATTGAGGTATGTGCCTTCCTACCTAACCTCGTATGTCTACGGACATATCGGGTAGACATATTTCTTGCAAACTAAACATAGTAATGTGCTGCAGGCCAGTTGGACTATAACCAGACCTCCCCATGCCATTTGTATCACCCTGGTCTGACCCACAATAGCTGACTTGTTGGGTTGAGCCCCTGCAGAAGTCCTAGCCAACTTGTGGACAGCTGACCTTAATAAAGGAGGGCAGCTGCTTAGGGTGCTCCCATTAAAAGCAAAATCACACAGTACCTATTGCCATCTTCTTGCCCCAGTGTCCACTTTCCATACTGGCAGAAGAGGGAAATGAGCCCATCATCAATGTCCTCCTCAAACTGGGTGTCTTAATGCCAACCGAGAGTCTATAATCACTTGAAACCAGGAGGTGGAGATTGATACAACAGCCCTATCCTCCTAGTAAGAAAGTCAGCAAAATTAATTTCTAAGAGCAGATAGATCTGTCATGATTAGGACCCATACCACATTAGTGAACCTATGTGTCATCCCAGACTTCTGAACCTACCATCATCCTCTCTGTGAATCCAGTTCAGGCTTCTTTGGGGTTGACCTGACCAACACTATTTCTCTGTCTCAGGACACCCCAATTACCCAAAACTGTGTTTTTACCCACCACCAGCAACAGATAGTTTGTTTCTTTTTGTCTGTTTGTTTGAGATGGAGTTGTCACTCTTGGCTCCCAGGCTAGAGTGTAATGGCGTGATCTCAGCTCACCGCAACCTCTGCCTCCTGCATTCAAGCGATTCTCCTGCCTCAGCCTCCTGAGTAGCTGGGATTACAGGTGCACATCACCATGCCTGGCTAATTTTTGTATTTTTACTAGAAATGGGGTTTCACCATGTTGGTCAGGCTGGTCTTGAACTCCTGACCTCAGGTGATCTGCCTGCCTCGGCCTCCCAAAGTGCTGGGATTACAGGTGTGAACCACTGTGCCCAGCCTTGTTTGGTTTTTGGGTTTTTTTTTTTTTTTTCATTTTGAGGCAGTGTGTCACTCTGTCGCTCAGGCTGGAGTGCAGTGGTGTGATCATGGCTCAGTGCAGCCTCAAAACTCCTGGGCTCAAGGGATCTTCCCACCTCAGCCTCTTGAGTATCTGGGATTACAGGCGAGAGCCACCACACCCAGCTGAACTTTTTTTTTTTTTTTTTTAGCAGAAATGAGGTCTTGCTATGTTGCCCAGACTGGTGTCTAACTCCACCAGTCCCCCCACCTTTGCCTCCCAAAGTGTTGGAATTACAGGCATGAACCACTGCACCTGGCTAACAACAGATAATTTGGACTGTCCCTTCCCAAGTTACATTGATTCTTCCCACCCTGGGCAGATGGACTGTCAGAATGTATCTCAACCTTCATGACACTACCTTCAAGGAAATCTGAGCTTGTAGGGCATTAGTTGGTTTACTCACAGTGTCTGAGGCTACTGAGTCCTGGTGACAGAACACCCTTCATTTACTTAGGGAACTGGATCATAGCAGCCTCAGGGCTTCTCACTCAAACCATGGGTCAACTCACAGAGCAGTATTGAGTATTCAACTCACTGTCTCTAAGGGAAACAGTGTTCTGATAGTCTTCAGTATGTTGCAGTGTCACCTGAGAGCAGTAAATCTCAAATCTCTCAACTCGTCAAACCCAATGTCTCCTTTTTTATTTTTGAGATGGAGTCTCACTCTGTTGCCCAGGCTGGAATGCAATGGTGCAATCTCAGCTCACCGAAGCCTCCACCTCCTGGGTTCAAGCAATTCTCCTGCTACAGCCTCCCAAGTAGCTGGGATTGCAGGCATGCACCACCACACCCGGCTAATTTTGTATTTTTTTAGTAGAGACGGGGTTTCTCCATGTTGGTCATGCTGGTCTCGAACTCCCAACCGCCAAGGCGGGTAATCCGCCCACCTTGGCCTCCCAAAGTGCTGCAATTACAGGTGTGAGCCACTGCGCCCAGCCCCAATGGAATTCAGTAGTAATGGAACCCACTTACACACATAGTTTTAAAAATCAAGATGGTATACTAACTTCAACATAAAAGGAATATATCAGGTGCCTTTTTTCTGTATCAGTTAAGATCTTACAATTTTTCTCCTTTAGACCAATTATATGGTGAATCACAGTAGTGTGTGTGTGTGTGTGTGTGTGTGTGTGTATTCTTTTGAGACAGGGTCTTGCTCTTGCCCAAGCTGGAATACAGTGGCACAATCTTGGATCCTTGCAGCTTCAACCTCCCAGGCTCAAGTAAGCCTCCTGGCTCAGCCTCCTTAGTAGCTGGGACCCCAGGTGTGCACTAGTACACCTGACCAATTTTTTATTTTTAGTAGAGACGTTTCACTGTGTTGGCCAGGCTGGTCTCAAACTCCTGGGCTCCAGTGATCCTTCTGCTTCAGCCTTCCAAATTGTTGGGATTATAGATGTGAGACTCCACACCCGGCCATATTAGTATACTATTGATGTTGAACCACAACATTCTCTTTTTTGTTTTTAAAGAGACAAGGTCTTGCTCTATCACCCAGGCTAGAGCGGCTAGAACTACAGGTGCCGGCCACCTCACCTGGCTAATTTTTGTTTTTGTAGAGATGGGGGTCTTGCTAGGTTGCCCAGTCTGATCTCGAACTCCTGGCTTCAAGTGATCCTCCTGCACTGGCCTCCTAAAGTGCTAGGATTACTGGTGTGAGCCACAGCACATAGCCTGAACCATAACATTCTTACATTCCTGGGGTAAACTCCACTGGGTCATAATCTGCATTTTTGGATACACTGTTAGTGTCTGTTAGCTAACTCTGGAGGGGAGATTTTTGTTTCATAAGTGGCCCTAGAATTATCTTTTTTGGGGTTCTCTCATTCAGTTTTATAATTTAGGGTGTACTAACCTCAAAAAATGGAATAAATAGATTTTACTCTTGTTATTATGCATAAGATTGGAATTAACTATTCCTTGAAAGTTTGCTACAGCACATCTGCAAAACCTACTGGGTTTTTAAGGGAGGAAAGTTCTTTGACTACCATTTTTATTTCTTTAATACTCAATGGACTATTCAAGACTTCTCTTTTTGTGCCATTTTTAGCATGGTGTATTTTTCTAATAATGTATCATTTATTTTCATCTATGTTTTAAATTCATTGGTGTGCCATTTATAATTCTTTTTAAAAAATCTATGTTTCCCTAGTTATTGCCCTCTTATCATTCTATATCTTGGTTTTTTGATTTTTTTTTTTCTTGGTCACTCTGGTCAGAAGTCTGTCTCTCTTATTGGTCTTTTCAAAGAATCAGCTTTGGTTTGCTTAATTTTTACTGTTGTCTTTGTTTTCTATTTTATTTCTCCTTATCATTTCTTTCTTGTTTCTTTGAATTTGGAAATATAAACAATGTGTCATTGGCACAGAAACAGAAAACTAGACCAATAAAACAGCATAGACACAGACACATGTATATAAAAGAACCTAATGTATAACAAATCAGGGGAGAAAGGACAATTTTTAGTTAAAGGTGTTGAGAAAACTGGCTCATGACAGAGAACATTAAAACTGGATCCCTTCCTCATGATATGTACAAAAATGGATTCTAGGGGCTGGGCACAATGGCTCAATGCCTGTAATCCCAGCACTTTGGGAGACAAAGGCAGACAGATCACTTGAGTTCAGGAATTCGAGACTAACCTGGCCAACATGGTGAAACACCATGTCTACTAAAACTACAAAAAATTAGATGGGTGTGGTGGCATGTGCCTGTAGTCCCAGCTACTCAGGAGACTGAGGCAGAAGAATCGCTTGAACTCAGGAGGCAGAGATTGCAGTGAGCCAAGATTGTGCCACTGCCCTCCACCCTGAGTGACAGAGCAAGACTCTGTCTCAAAAAAACAAAAACAAAAACAGGATTCTAGGTAGATTGAGGACCTAAATGTGGAAATAAAACTGTAATGTTAATAGAAATTGTAGGGAGATGTCTTTGTGACCTAGGGGCTTGGACAAAACTTCAAGACTTATCCATATGCTGAAGAGATGATTAGATTATAGCAAAATTAAGGATTTGTGCTCAATGAAAGATGCTGTGGACAAAAGTAAGAAATAATGTGCAGATTGGGAGAGGATATTTGCAATGTATAAACCAACAAGGGATTTGATACCTAGAATATACAAAGACTTCCTGTGAATCAGCAAGAAAGTTGGGTGTAGTGATTTACACCTGTAATCCCAGCACTTTGGGAGGCTGAAGCAGGAGGATTGCTTGAGGCCAGGAGTTTGAGACCAGCTAGACAACACAACATGACCCAGTCTCTAGAAAAAAAAAATTTTTTTAATTACCTGGTTGTGGTGGCACCTGTCATCCTAGCTACTTGGGAGGCTGAGGTCAGAGGATCACATGAGCCCAGGAGGTTGAGGTTACAGTGAGCTATGGTCATGCCACTGCACTTCAGCATGGATGACAAAGCAAGACTCTGTCTCTAAAAAAAAAAAAAAAACCAAAGGAGGAGGAGGAGGAAGAAGAGGAAGAGGGAGGAAGAAGGGGAAGGATGAAAGAAGTAAGAAAGAAGAAGGAGAAGAAGACAGCAACACCAATGGAAAATTAGCCAAAGCATACAATACGCAATATGCAGAGGAAGAAATTTGAAAAGCCAGCAGTATATGATGAGGTGTTCAAGATCATTGCAAATCCGAGAAATTAAAATAACATGAGATGTCACTTTATATCTATCAGCCCAATGAATTTAAGAAGCAGGATAACGCCAGGTGGTGGTGGTGGTGTAAGGACCTACAAACCCTCCTGTGTGGCTGATGGGAGTGTGGACTAGGGCAGTCATTCTAAAGAGCTGTCTGGGAGTACCTTGTCAAATTAGTTTTATGCATTTACTGGACCAGGCATGGTGGCTCACGCCTGTAATCCCAGCACTTTGGTAGCCTGAGGTGGGTGGATCCCCTGAGGTCAGTCAGGAATTCCAGACCAGCCTGGCCATCATGGTGAAACCCTGTCTCTACCAAAAATA